TAACGTTCTTATTGTTTACTTACCTACCACTCTTTTTACCGATAGCTATTATTTTATTATTGTTCATCCTGTTATTTACCAACTATTCTTATTGTTATTTGTCTACTACTCTCGTTTTTGTTTATATTCTACTGTTCATCCTTTTATTTAACTACCGTTATTTACCTACTAATCTACTATTGTTCATATTGCTACTTACTGCTCTTATTGTTATTTACCTTTTATTATCAGTTACATGTCTACTAATCTACTATTGTTCATATTGCTACTTACTGCTCGTATTGTTATTTACCTTTTATTATCAGTTACATGTCTACTATTGTTCTTTAACTAATTTATCTATTTGTTTTATTATTCCATAATGGATTATTAAGTATTTCAATCTTACAATTTTTCTCTTACAATAAGTTATTTTGCAAAAAAATAACCTTAACAAAGGATAAAAGCTAAGTTTACATAAACCAATTAATGTACATTTATGTTATGCAATAAGAATTCACAAATATTATTCATCAATTTTTTTTTTTTATTGTTAAAGGTCAAAGATTAAAAATTTTAAAATATTTCAAATTATCAATTTTTCGAAAAATAAAATTCTCCAATATATACATTCAATCAATTATAATTACATAAATTTTTAAATAATTTTCAATTTATACTAAAAAGTAAAAAGTAAAAAAAAAAAGGAAAAAAGGAAAAAACAAACAAACATGCATAATTGGTTGTAATTAATCGAGAATTATCATTGAATTTTTTTTTATTTCTTTCATATCCATTTGCATACATTTGTTGTAATAAAGCTATTGAAATGATAAAATCGAATTCCTGTAACTATTCATTTATAATATTAATTTTTTAATTCAATAAAATTTTTTTCGGCAAAATTTTATCAAATTTCAACAAAAAATTTCATCAAATTTTTTAAATTTAAAAACAGAAATGCTAATAATTTCTTTTTTCTTTAATTTTAAAATAAATTTTAATAAATTCTTTCAAAAATTCATAATAGATTGTAGCAAATTTTGTGAAATTTTTATATGTGACAAATAATTACGTTAATTAATGTCAATAATTTATCAATGTGATATTGCATAAATAGTTAGGCTATGCTTAAGCATTAAGCTTAAAATAATTTTACTGATATAATCTGTGTTAATTTAAATGTTTTTTTTATCATTTTTAAAAAAAAAAATAATTTCCAAAAAATGCTTTATTGACTAAATGTCCAATTCAATTAGATATATGAGAAGTAATGATTGATAAATAATAAAAGATCTTATCAGTAGTAGCTTAATTTTATCAGCATTGTTCGATTTGATCAATGATCGTTACAGAAAATGATTATTTCCTACTTCATTCACTAATAATTATCCTAAATAAATATATGCTTGAAGCTTTGTAAAAGGAAAAAAAAACTTTTATCCCAAAAAAATTTGATCAAAATTTTAAATTTACTAAATTGATATTTGCTATCAGTGACAATAAAAATTTAACTCAAATTTATCCTGAATTTTTTCTTAAATTTAAAATAAATCATATGCTTACCCAAAAGACAAAATATTAAAACTTTAAATGATTTAGTTAAATAAATTATCATTAAACAAATGCAGTAATGATATTTGTTATTGGCAATAATAACAATAAAATTCTAATTAGGCAATTATTTAAATTATAAATTTTGATGTGATTTTAAATTTAAAAAAAATTTAACTGATTCATCAATTAATAAATCATTAATTATTCAATTTGACCATTAATTATTAAATCACTAATTCATTAATTACTAAATCATTAATTATTTAATTTAATCCATTTATCAGCTCATTTAATTTGGCCCTTTTATTATTGCAATAATTTAATAATTACACATTTCAAATTCAAGCTATTGCTCAGTCATGACCTCAACTACGTGCTAAAATTAAAAAATTTCATTTAATTTATGAAATTTCTTCCTTTCTCTTTTTCTCTCTAAAAATATCCTTCCATTACAAACTATTACATATCTTCATCATACAATTAATTCATTCAAAAAGATGAAATTTTTTTTTTTTTTGAAATTCAAAATTCAAAAAAAAATGTTTAATATTAAAAAAAAAAAAAACAAATTTACAAGGAAATTTAATCTATCTAATACTTTTGCATAAATTAGTTAAAAAGAGCTAAATGAATCATTTATTAAAATCAAAATGTGAAATGAATGATTAAACTGTACAAAAATGTTCGTTGCAAAAAAGGATGATTAGTGATAAGAATAGGCTTGTCAGAGTAGTTGCGAAAGGATGATTACTGATAAGAGTAGGTTTGTCACAGTTCTTTTTTTTCTCTTTTTTTTTGCTTACTTTTCTTTTTATCTTCAAAAATTTTCTTTCTATTTTTTTTCTTTTTTATACAAATATTATTTGAGAAATTGCCATTTTCATATTTTTGATTTCATTCCAATGAATTAATAAACTGAATTAATCAAATTATAAAATTGAAATGAAAGGTGGAAATTTTGAAAAAAAAAAAAAGTTGGA